GCGTGCCTTTACCTTCATACTCTGTTATCATCCTTTTTAGCAGTATATATTCTTGCCACTCTGTCAAATAAAGTTAGTTGGAAGTCAGCGCTCTTTCTGTCTACCCTGTCCTTTTTCCTTTGTTCGCGCGCTGAAACATCTTGCAAATATGGCCTCTAATAGAGTAATATACGTGGCAAGCCAGGACTACCCGAAATAAGCAACGCACACTATTGTTTTCTTTCCTTAAAAGTGTAGCATGTCCACAAGGTTACGCAGGTTGGCATGAGTAGGTCGGCAATAAATGGCAGAGCTCATCATGCCAGCTCAAAAAGTTTATTTGTGCTTAGAGCTAATTTTAATCCAGACTCACAACATACTTCGAATCAGGCTGACTAAAACTTTTCTCAACGGAACTCAGACTCAGGTTCGGTCGGAGTGATCCTCAGCGAGCCGGCCAACTCGAGAGTGATTTTGCTGACGTATGGTGTAGGAAGTGCTTCGAAACCAAGCCACTTGACAATGTTCTCCTTATAACTACGTTTAATATCTGCAAGACATGAAAACAAGGATAAAGGTGCTCGAGTAGCTCAGCTGGAAGAAGCCAAAATAAACAGCGACAGAAAAGAGAGAGTGAGACTCTCAGAATACAGTATAATGACCCCCAAAGGGAGTTAACGGGACTCTTTAAAGAGAGTCACATACGTGGCGAGTCAGGACATAAAAAAAAGATATAGTCAAATGGCTTTTTTTTTTGTTCTTAGAGCGTAGCTTGTCTACAACTTAGAAGTGTGGAAGCTTGGGCTAGTTGGTATGGCATGACGATAGTTATACCGTGAGAACAAAACGACGACACAGAGAGAAGAAGGACATGAAAGACACGAGCGCAAACTTCCAACTGAGTTTATTGCGCAGAGCGCGAAAATATATAGAGCGCTCTGCGCTAAAAAAATATAGAAAATATATTGCGCTCTGCGCAATAAACTCAGTTGGAAGTTAGCGCTTGTATCTTTCGTGTCCTTCTTGTCTCTGTGTCGTCGTTTCGTTCTCGCGCTATAACTATCGTCATGCCATACCAACTAGCCCAAGCTGCCACACTTCTAAGTTACATTTCTAGTTATTCGGGCTCTTTTTCGTGTGTTTCTCTTCATCATTCAGTTCTCGTAACCCTCATCGCAGTCTCCATTTGCCGTGCGCGCACCTTTACTTTCGGCGTTCGCACCAAGCAGCTACCTTCGGACGTTAAAGCCTTGTTTTGAGGCTACCACCCCTCTATTGGCCATGGCATACGGGTGTGCAAATTCTTCGGTCTGAATGACACCGACAAGAGCACACGTACCGGGACGCCCTGCATGTCCAGCTTCAACAAACAGATCTAACACCGAGAGTGAAGTAAAGGAGATGGCGAGAGTACTGCGACCGAATCGAATACACTGCAAACTGCCTGTAGTCACGTGAGCTCACTAGCCTTCGTGCGCAGCGCCCAACAAAGTCCCGGCAATCAGGTGTGGTCCACTCATGCAGTGACGTCGTCCTCCAAGACTACGTACACAACCCTCGCCCTAGGTCCGAAGTTCGCCGTCGACAGAGAGAGGTCCGAACCCGAGCTTCTTTCAATGGTGCGCTCTGTTTCTGGCCGCGCTTCTCCAGAGGATTCGGACAGGTGCATCTCAGAAGGCGTCGACGTGCTCCTACGGGGTAAACCTACCAGTAACAGCGTTCCGGTTTTGAAGACGACCTAGTTTCTTAGAGACAATGAACTTTGTGTCGTGCCGTCAGATAAGGAGGGTGGTTTCGCCGTTCTTCCTAATTACTTGTACCTAGAAAAGGTGGTCACGGCTATCGACTCTGTTTTCAAATGTTGTACCGACATTTGTCTAGATAGAGTAAAAACGCAAGCCAAGGGAATGTGTCGTAAACAAGAGTTAAAACAGTAAGCACAGCATATTAGCAAAAGTGACAAAAATGGGCTCAGCATGTTTTTTTTTTTCTGCCAAAACACATAAGGTTGACATGCCCTTCCGTGTCATTGTGACAGAAAGTGGTACGTGGCAAAAGCAACTCGGCTTGTTTATTCATACCCATCTAAAGTGTCTAAATATTGATGACCCATTTTTGATCAAAAACTCGCAGGCTCTGATAGAATTTTTTAAACTGTCAAATTGTTATGTCCGGTGTTGTCGTCGGCCCATAGACGTACGCGTTGGTCGCGGTAGTCCAAAAAGCTCAGACAGCCTCGAACGGTTAAAAACAAGTTTATTCCTATTCGGATGGAGGCGGCGGCCGAACTGCCGGGGGAAACGACGGTGGCTCGTTTGCGCCGAGCGGGGGAAGGGGAGGAGTCAACATCTGGAAGCAGTTTCAGCAACCGGTCCTTCGCGGGTTCGGAGGCTCGCTCGTGACACAGGGGTGCTTGGAACACAACACAAATCAATCTAATCTTTCCGGTTTTTCAATTGACATAAAGGACCTATACTACTCTCTGCCTCACGATGAGGTATTAGAACGTATAAGGGATAACATAGAAATTTTTGGGGAATCGAACTTCCAATTAAAACTGGCATCAGTGCGCGAGATTTTTTGACCTGGTTTCATTGTACCTTACCTCTGCTTTCGTTCAATGAAATGATTGTATTTATCTGCAGAAAAAGGGTGTTTCAATCGGCTCATGCATAGCACCTCTACTCTCAGTGATCTTCTATTGGCAAAAATGGGCAAAGAACTGCAGGAAAAGTTAGAAGACTCGCATGTAGTCAAAGTATTCGGATACGTGGATGATTTTTTGGTTCTTCTAAATTGTAATTCTTTTATGTGTCCTCCCTTGCGACTCAAACGATAGGTGTGTTCGAAGATTGTTTAAGGCCTCTTGTGTTGACTTATGAAATGCCCGAGAAAGACAAGTTACGCTTTTTGGATTTAAAACTGGTTTTTTGCTCACAGCACATCTGTTGGTGTTATGAACCACGTGCGCAGAAACCTCTACTTCCTTTTTTTCTGCTCACAGCAAATTAGTTAAGCGAGGCATAGCACGAACCTGTCTTGAGAATGCCTTAAATAGGTCGTGCGCACACAATATCTCTGCGAGCTTCAAAGCTGAAGTTCCCCAGCTTAAGGCTTCGGGTTTACCCGAGGCATTTATCGCTTCCATTGCTTAGACTAACCTGCAGACTAATAAGGCAGAGCAGAAGCAGCGACAGAATCCGAGCAACACGGATACAGAACGTGAAAGGATAGCCGTGACTCCATACAAACACCGCATATCACACAGGCTCAAGAAAATCAAAAAACGTGTTGGAGTTCGTGTCCTCTTCTCGGCACCGTTCAAATTATTCAGCCTCACCAAATCTACAAACCCCTGAAAAGGCAGTCATCAATGGAATGCAGAGTTCAACATTGAAACAGGTATGCGGCATGCTCCCGGGAAGTTGTCTATAGGACCCCCCTTTCATGCGGCTTGTTAAGTCGGAACGACCGGAAGGTGTCTGAACGATCAGCTGAGAGAACACGCTAACAATTGAGTGCAATTGTGTGCCCCTTTTCAAGGACAGAGCGACGCTGTACAAGCACAAAGATGAGCGCACCCGAGTCATTGTCGAGCCCGCGCAGATGGCACGCGAACAGGTGCCTTGTATTACCAAGCCCTCCGTGGCTCTGTCCAAAAAAGAACTAAGGTTCCTCGAAGGGTTCGGTGCGCGCAAGTAGTTATATTATCTTTACTTTTCTGTTTCGTTTTCTTATAGATTTTTCTTTGCCGTTTTTTTGTGCTTTGTTTTTTTTTTTGTTTTTGTTTTTCTCTTACTCATGTTCTGCTCTTTGTGCTATATGGTTTTTGTCACATGGTTACTGTCTCCTCTATATATTTTCGCGCTCTGCGCAATAAACTCAGTTGGAAGTTAGTGCTCGTGTCTTGCGTGTCCTTCTTGTCTCTGTGTCGTCGTTTTGTTCTCGCGCTATAACTATCGTCGACAACACAGTACTCGAATCGATTTGGCACCTTGACGCGCTTCTCCTCATAACTCTGAGTAGTACGCCGCATTTAACGTCTGCCATATGCCAACCCGCGACATGATGCACAAAAAAAAAAAAAAAGATCGCGAGGAAGATACCGACAGTGACAGTGCGGCTCCGTCGTATTGAAAACTGCAATCATTCGGCTCGTACGCACGGCTGGTATGAGTGGTGGTTTATAAATATGGCCACTGCAGTATGACCGCAGCAATAGTGACGTCACGCGCAAGCTATCTATTAAGTATCTATTTAATATCTTTTTGATATTCAATTGTACTTTGTAAATGTATTTATGTTGTACCCTGCCCCTCCTGCATGGGCCACGTGGCCTGCAGTATTTTGTAAATAAAATAAAAAATAAAAAGTGGTGCTACCAGGCCTGAGAAGAACACGTACGAAATCCAAATTTATAGCGTAAAGGGGAATCGCCTGCTGGATTCCGAGCTGGGTGGTTGTGTCACCAGCAATCTCGGACGCCAGGGTGCCTCGAGATCTTGCCGATTGGCCCGTAGTACGCGATCTCCTGACGCCGATTGGCCCGCAGTACGCGATCTCCGGACGGGGCACCACTCGCGCAAGAAGCGCGAGTGGTGTCCCGTCCTCGCGCTTCTTCAACCGTGTTGACCATGTCCCCCATCTGTTTTCTATTTCTGTCGCTCTGGTGGGGTGAGTGCTCTCACTCCTTCATCTTATCTGCCATCACCACTGCGCCGTGTTGCCTATAGGCAGACAGAATTATGTTCCTTGTTTCCCTTCTTTAGGACCGCGCATTCATTCATTACAGCGTGAAAAGCGCGGAGCAAGAAGCAAGCAGCTCGAAGTGATGCGGAGAGCCGAAATCGGACGACGCGTCTCACCCATGTTGCTCCTCCGTTGCTGATTGGCTACTTCGCTCTCCAGCAAACGGCGCTAAAATAGGACCCATTCTTCGAACGGGAGACGTGCGCGAAGAGCCGCGCACGGCTGCCTGAGGCATCCTTGCCGCTAGCGTGAACCGACCCGAATGTTTATACCGTCCAGAAGACGTCCTCTCCCTCGTGGTCGAAGCCCTGGATGGAACAGTTGCCGCCCACTAGCGCCACGGGGTTGCGCAGGGTGCCCAGGTATCCCGTGGTCATGCTGTTGGCGCCGTCAGCGACCTCTCTGAAGAAAAGGTCGCAGTTGTTCTCGACGTCGTAGGCGAGCAGTGCCGTGGGCGTGCCCACCAGCAGGACGTCCTCCTTGGCCCCCGGCTTGATGCAGTCAGCCGTCAGACAGCTCACCGTCTGGTTTACGTTCAGCAGGGACACGTCCCCGCAGCCTTCCCAGTGGTCGCCACTGCGCTGCTGCTGGTTGTTGTGCACCAGCACCTGCATGTGGCCGTCATTAATCTTCGGATGATACACTTTGAAAAACGATGCGGTTCAATGCACTTGAGCTAAATAAGTTTTTTTTTATTTAATGACCCAGAAGAAAGTTAAGGAATGGATGGTATTTGTTGTGATTATGGCGCCGAGAGAGGAAAGCTGGGAAGTTACACGAGTATCCGGTTCGCAACCCAGAAATGGGCAAGAGAAGTAGAAAATGATAGAAAACACACAAATTATAGCGTTAGAAAGGAAAGTAGATGAGGAGATAACTTGCCGCTGGCAGGCACTGAACATTCGAGTTAACGAGTCCGGTGCTCTACCAAAGCTACACCGCCGTTAAGTTCATTGGGCATTTGTGTGCATTTACACGTAGCAGTGTTGAGAGCATCAATCGCAACCATAACTGTGTGTGTGTGTGTGAAACGCTCTTTGTGTGGCCGCTGGCGTGGCGTGGTGCAGTAACAACGTTATTGATGACTCCGGCGAATTCGCGGCCTAGGCGGCCAGATACAGTGTACTAGAAAGGGGCAGTGGAGTAAACAAGGCGGCCGCGCCGCATCTCGGCTGATTCTCCGGCGGGTGACAGTAACGGCGGCGCTGTAGTCGCATTGTACTGAAGATCTCAGGAGCGTCTGCATTGGGAGCGCGCGCGCCCGAGCCTGCGAAACCGCGTAATGGCTCGTTTTTAGCGGGCTTAATGCGTTTCTAGCTTGAGTTGGCACTTACTGAACGACATCATATCATAGTGCAAAACTCAAATATAAAGAATTAGTGGCCATCTTTGCAACATTTTTTTCTGCCTCTTAATGTTTATTTTCGAGTTTATTGGCACATTATCATGTGCTTCTTTTACTACGACACATTATATTTGAAATAAAAGGCATATGCAATGAAAATATTTGGTAGCAATCTGTTCCCTAAACAAGAAGCTATCGCAAGCGGAAAGGTATAAAACGATCTCAGAGTATAAATATCTGGGGCACTTCTCAAGGCTTTCAATGGATGTCAAGAGCAAGAAAACACGGTAGTGCCAGGAATAACCACTCGCTCTTCAAGTCAACTGATCGCCATTCGACGAAGCACGTCGCTGACAGAAGGATGATATCACAAGATATTTTTACACCGCACATTGGAATAACTTTAGACTTATTTATGAGATAATTCAAATCACAATGAAATGTTTCATTTTACATGAGCCAAACGCAAACTTTGCATACTGAGGATGTTGAACTACCCAGACTTTAGCCGTAATAAAGATTGAGGTATTTAGGAAGGGGAGCATACCTACTAAATTGTTTTAGTAGGCTCAACCGTGTTGTCAGTAGCAAGAAAAAGTGTGTTTTTCTCAGTTCTTCTCCGAAAGGGCATCTGGCTTTTTTTTTAAAAAGCAAAAAAAAAAAACGACGCATTTATACATTCACGATAAACATACAGAACATGCGAAGGGAAGCTGTCGAGGGGCCATACAAATTCAAATGAAGAAAAAAATGCCCCGAGGAAGGTGCGCAGGCGTGACAAGTAGAAAAGCAAGTCAAAGATACTGAGAAGGGCCAGTGCAGTGGCTAGTTGGTTGTACATGATTGACATCACGAAAAAAACACACTGCAGGCAGGACACACGCGAGCGCGAACTGTTTATTCGACGGAAACACGACAAACACATACAGGGTGAAAGGCGAACCATCTGCGTGACATCAAATCTGGCCTTGTCAACTATCTAAAAAAATTTACGCGTAAAACAGCAAATTCATTGTTGGAGAAATGAATAGATGACGAATGCTAGCGCGTTGCGAGTGTCAACCACACTAATAAGGTTTACTTCTTTTTCGCGCAAAGATGGCTGACGCACGACTCTCTTCCGTTAAATTAAAAAAAAAGTTTCTTCCCTTGTCGTCTGATCACCTGTGTCTGAAGAGCACCGTCGCATCAATGAACCATGTGATAGTGCGGAGGCCGATTGGCATACGCGTGACCTTCAATGGATCGATAGTGTTCTTTCAGCCGTGCACAGAGGCTGCATGTGCCCCGTTTGCGTTACGTACGCTTGAATTGCTACAGGTACCACCCCCGTGGCTTTGACGCTTTCTTATGCTTCACACCTCATTTATTTAAGTGAGACCTTTCTTTTTCACGCCTTTTATTCACCCATAAGCACAATTTACCTCAGCTGAAAAGAGAGCCCGAACACCGTAGCGCGGGATGCCACATTTCTTAGTCCGTCAACCATTCTGTGCATGTTGAGCTTCGTGGCACATTCTTTGAACGCTCTTGGTTTATACTTTTTTACAGCGAAAGCTGTTATGAGATCAAAACTCGTGGCGCCGCCGGTGTCCGTAACCGTTATCGCGAATAAAGAGGAAAAAAACTTTGTGTTAAGGACAGAGTGGGGCTCGCATCCGGGTCCGCTGAGTGCCAGCCCAGTATTTTACCACTGAGCTACTCCGGTGCTTGTGACTTGCCAAACTTGTCTTAGGCAGGCTTGATGTCGGGAAAGCAATCGCGTCAGTACGACTTATGAAGCGTTTTACAACAGCGAAAAGACAACCAGTCGTCGCACAATGTGAATTGCGTAACGAGTGAGTCGTCCAATGCTCCAGCAAACTACAAGAGCTTGTTTTTGTTCCGCTATTAACTGTGGCACATATACTTTTCAGGCATAATTCCTAATCGTCGTCAGCCATTGCATGAACAATTAACTCAAAATTTCTTGCAAGTGTTTCGTGGATACAATGCTTCTCAGAAGAATGACCAAAAATAGCATAGAGAATGCCGGCCTACTACCCAAAACATTTTATTATAATGCCCTACTGGGTATCAAGCAAGTGGGCTTGCACTAGTTACCCGATGAGTGTTATTGAAATGCTGCTCTCCTAGTCGCTGTGACTGTGCTGCACCTTTCGCGCAGGCCTAGCGTTTATAGGGGCGAAGCTTCTTATAGCGACACCCGTTCATCCCTCGTAGCCGTTGTAGTATTGTATAACAAGTATAACATTTTGACCTCCAAGGTGGTGCCGGTGAGAGATTTCTTCTGTGCGTTGTTGAACAATAAAATATAGTGCTCAATGCACATGCCAACGGCTGATAAGGGGGAATGAGAGACAGGAGAATTCGGCTTTTAGTTAACGCGCACGCTGCGAATTTTTTATTGTTCAACAACTCACAGAAGACAAGAAAAGGTTGCTACGTTATACTCGCGTGGCGTAATCTCCTAGGTTTTAGAAAGGTTTAGCGAGAGTTGGGCCGCAGTGCCATGAATACAGTGAACTAGTATATACCATGAACTCGAGGTGGTTAAAGGTGGGAAGCAGACACGAAGCGCAAGCCGTAAGAAAGTGTGCGTGTGTCTCCTCTGGTTCAGTTTTTGGGATGTCCGCTGGATGGCGGTGCTTTATATGAGGAATATATGATGAAAAGATGCGAGATGGTGGTACTTCGATGTTGAATAGGTGGACGAACGGACACACAGACAGATGCATGGATGGCTGCACGGACGGATGAACGCATGGACGGACGCAGGAGCAGATGCATGTACGAAAGCAGGGACGGACGCACAGATGACCGTGCGGACGCACGAACTGACGCACGCATGGACGGGCGGATGGACGCACGGGCGGTCACACAGACGCACGCATAGATGGACGGAAGCAAGAACGAATGGACGGACGGATGCTTCGCCCCCTATCCATCATTCACTCCGTGAATATGCTGCCAGTTTTTTATGTACTCCCTTCCTAATCTGTCAGACTAGCGCTTCGTAGGCGGAATTAAGTGATTACGGGAACCGTAAAGGCGACTGCCTGAAGTTGACCCACCAAAAACAAGTGTTCCTTATTCACGACCCCGTTTTTTTTTCTTCTTTTCGTGCCCGTGCAGGATATATTTTTTTCATTTGCATTGTTATGGTCCCTCGAGTGTCTCCTCTGCACATGTTCTGTATGTTTATCGTGAGTGTTAAAAAATAATCTCCACATTCCGATAAATCACCAGTAGAGATTCAGCGCTTCTGTTGTCTGCCTTCGTGCCGTCCGTTTTTCCCACATGGTGTCGCCAGCTTTCAGCCGTGTTTCAGTTTTCCCTTTCTTGATAACGAAAAGTTTGGTTGCTCATTTCGGGGATTCTATGTGCGCGTAAGAAAAGCGTACCTTGTCTGAGGCGGTGGCTGCGGTGATGCACGGGTGCAGTCCATCGTACTTTCCCACGGTGACCCTGCGCGGAAGCACCTTGTGGTTCAGGTGAAAGGTGAACTGCGGCACCAGATTGTCCCTGCCTTTGGTCGGCGACATGACCGCGTCTTTTCGCGCGCATTGATCGTCGTGCCTCGAACGGTTGCCGGGGCTACGAGCCAAACATTCCACGCTCCCGCAGGCACAGTTGCCAGATGCTACCCTGTAACAAACTAATAATCATCACAAAATAAGCTGTCCTTTCACCGCCCCCCCCCCCCCAAGAAATATAGTGACATGACTTTATGATGAAGCCCAACAAAAACGGAAAAACTATGCCTAGTTGGAAATACTTCCCTACCAGCGAAATTTTCTTGAAAATCATCAGTGGCCAGGATGTCCATGCTTGGAAAGTTATTGGGGGCCAAGGGAAGTATGTGCTTGGGAAGTTTGACAAGCCTACTTTTGGCCAAGCAAAGGAAGGCCGTGCTTGGAAAGTGATTGGAAACACCCCTTTCCATGGTTGGCACTGTGTTAGAATATCATGCAATAGCCAAACATGTTCTTGGCATGGGAGCCAATCATTTTGGCCGATGCAATTTCTGGCACATTTATTTCAGTTTTTTGTCTTGGCTACAATTGGATGTCCGGCTACTTTTTTCTGCATTTTTGCATGCCCCCCCCCCCCGCCCTTTCACGAGAAGTAACAATTGGCAAATATTTCTGGTACTTCAGGTTTACTTAACACATTATAAAAGGCAATATGCCGTTTTTCCATTTTTTTCCTGAACTCTTGTGATTCTGAAGTGTTGCTTGGCTTCTCTTGGAGTCATTTATCGTAGTGGCATGCCTCCTTTGCATAGGTGAACCTTCTTGATCTGAATCGAACATGAGCCATCCGTTTGTTACGTCTGAAACAGCTGAGTCAGTTTTGTTGAACAGGGTATGTCTCGTCTGTAAAATATGAGAAAAAACCTCAGCTCCTGTTCTTTATTTAGCCATCTCTTAGGCAATCACTTTCACCAATTTTCAACAAAATACACAGCAGAAACTTTTGTTGGGAAGCTAACTGGTTATGCATGATTATGAGGACAAAAGCACCTGCACAGACAGGAAGAGATATTCGACGGCATGATGCATTTTTATTACTGAAGTAGCGTGCATAGTCATGCGAGAACCCCATCAATACGAAAGAAATGAAGAAAAACAAGTTAAAAAAAACCAGCTATCCTCGAACCCTTTATAGGACATATATATTCTCTCAAATGAAAAAAAAAGGTATTTTTATAGCATGATAGAAGCAGCATTGGCGCAAAAGCACTGTTTATAGCGTCCTTGTATTTTTGTATGTACGTACCTTTATATTTAAACGTGGCTGAGGTAGTCAACGAACCTTTATTTACGAAGGTTATTTTTGTCATGTAGCTGCTGTTGTCAATGCTTCATTTTATTTCAGTGATTATTGGCAGTCCTGCCGCTTAGCTGTGAAGTTGACTGTTAAACGATGAAATTGGTTATGTGCTCTGGTTCTCAGCTCTCACAAATCGGCAAGCTGATAGAACAGGAAATAAGATTATACAACATTGAAGTGGCGAACATATGGTGGCAGTGAAAATGTTTCAATGCTCAATCTTGCTCCAGATGGCAAAAGTTGGCTTTTTTTAGGGAGACAGTGTATAATGTATTAGAAGGTCAAGTTTTCAAACAAACCTCAGTGATGCAGTGTGTGCAGTATTCTGGCCCTCGTGAAAGATTTTCTAAAGAAAGGCAACCGAAATATCACAGCATGGAAAAGTATACATAACAAAAAAGTCATGAGAATGTTGCCGATAAAAGCCTAAGCAAGAAACCAATTTATTTGTTTATTGTTAATGCTCACCAAGCAGAAAAAGCACATTTGCAAGATTTAAAATGAAAAATTGTTCTCGGCGACCCAGCAGCACTTCTTTGTAACCACGTTAGACACAATATGATGGAGCTTTCTGGGCACGGCATATTCAGCACTGCTGACATATACTAGGAACAAATAGCTGATCTGTAACAAAGAATCAAAACATAAATTTGAAAGTTGATAAATGTAACACGTTGAAAAGCTTTGAAAAAGTCTGTGCTGTATTGTTACATAAAATTATCTTCGCTTCGCTAAGCCGCAATATTTACAGCTCGTGGTTATGAATGCTTCTTCCATCGCGTTCATTCAATAAAACACCAAATCGCAATTTTATAAGTGTTATAAGGAAAACAAGTGTAGGATAACTTATCCGTCGAAGCAAGAGTCTGCCATCTTGAAGGGTTGAAGGGTGGGACGCAGCTCTGTCCAGCTCGGATCCGAAGACCCAAGAGGCCCTCGTGAGACGAGCAAGGACAGCGGCCCGTGCCAATGGGATCCCGGACTAAGGAGCCCACTCACCGATACCCCTTCCTCGGTCGCAAATAAATGTTTTATTCTCTTTCTCTCTGCAATCTTGAAGAAGAATTCAGAAAAAAAAAAGCATTGCACCATGGAGCCATGTAATGGGGTGAACAAAACCCTTTTTGTTCACTTTAGTTACCAACATGCACATGCTCCTCTCAGAGTCGCCACAGCTGCCACAAAATCTTGAGAAATTTGTCCACTATAGTGGACAGCGTGCACTAAAGGTTAGCGCCGCGCTCTGAAAATCGAAAACTTGCTGCTTCGATTACGCGCGACAGATGGGGAAATTTCTAACTATACATTTTTCAACGTCACTTCAGCGATGGAAGTACGTCAGCGGAGCTGTGGTGGACCTCGGCATAAAACACTTTCGTGTTAAAAGTAATGTAATACAGGCTGAGAATTATGCGGTGATGATGAATGACATAATAGATTATTTTACATCTGTTGTAGCAACCAATTCGGATTCAGTTGTACCGAGGAAGGGCGATAAACGCGGCCGCAACGATTATTCTCAATCGGAGCGTTCGATCAGCAATTATGACTAGACCGGATCTCACAGGTTAACGTACGTTCTAATTCTGTTTACTCAACAAGTACACTTCGTTTGTACATCAATTTATGATTTTTAGTGTATATACTGAGCGCGTTAGGACTATTTCCCAGTATGCGTTCGTGAAATTCCCGCGTAATTTGCGCACCCCGTTTCGGCGGCCCCAAAATCGCGAGAAAAAGTGCGCAAGTTATGTCAGTAAATACGGTGTATCGTGAATGTCGCCCAAGGTAGAACGGCGAATAGCCAGTAGGGCGTTGACGGGCGATAAGATGAGCAAACGTCACAAATAGAAAGATGGCTTCCCAGTGCTCGTTAGTTGGTGCAATATACATAGATATCTTATCAGTTAGTGTGCGGTGAAATCACTCTGTTATGCCGTTGGTTTCAATGTGATATATGCCGACGTCAATCCCTGAAGTCATTGACGTTCCGTTTTGGCATAAAAGATAATGAAATATCAGGCTATAAGGATAGTGCAAGTTCGTAGTACGTTATGTCCAACTTGAATTTATACTATTCACACGGTTCGCAGGAAGCGGCATGTTGGACGACTCCTTGAACGAGGCGATTTCTCCAGGAAAGTGACTATATGCAAAATGAAGACAGATATCATGAAGCTCCTCGATGTATCCCGCTCTTTCGTAGATACAAGTAGCCATAGGTGGGGGCCTCCCGATACCTGCGGGGAACTTTCGCCGCCCGCCCAAGAGCACGCCTATGCAATTAGCAAGAAATGTTCACAATTATGTGTTATTTTTTTAGGCGAGACAAGCCTTTCAGGTAGGAAGAAAATAAAGTCGTCCGAAGTCGTTACTTAGCAATCTCGTAATTGGGGGGGGGGGGCAATCAGGATAAGCTCGACAAGATAAGTGCCTCAGGTGAGAGAGCCCTTGGCGACAGACTCTGATTCTTTGTGCCCGACAGAAAGTGTGTCCACGCTGCCAGGATGCTGTCCCCTCGCGCTCAACTTTGGCTCAAGATGGCTCGGACGTGCAACCTCAGCCTGGGCTGCATGGGAATGGTGAGATATGGACTTTCTACACTTCGCGGTTAACTTCCGGGAGTGACGTGAGGATGAGTTGGTAGTTTAACAGTACGTTATGTTGGGCTAGTTGGTACATATGAGGCTGAAATACGTGGCGCAAGGTTGACAAAGAGAAAAAAAAAAGACGAGACAGAAAGAGCTCCAACTCACAACTAAGTTTATTTTCATGAAGCATTCGCAATATATAGGTTCTCGGAGGACATGCGCCTACCATTTCATTCACCGCACGTGCAGGCATGAACATTTTTATGATGTAATAGCCGATAATTGCAATCATGAAATCTAGGAACCAGCAACAAACAGATATTCCTAATGTAAAGACGTCGAAAAAACCAAACACACCCAAGCCTGTGCAAAAAAAAATGCGAGGAAAAACCAGCAAAAAAGGACTGACAGACACTTGGTCGTTCATCGCCAAGAAAATTTCAACAGCACTGTGAAACACGAATGGTAGAAAAAGAAGCCATGGCGTGCGCAGTGTTGGGCCAGAGAAAAAGTTCGTGGCCCCCCTTCCTCTTGGGGGAGAGCCCCTCCACTCGCGTGCATGCCCGTGCTGACACGGACAACTTCTGCCTGAGTATTAATGATGTAGAGCTAAATTGGAGCAAAGTATCGCAGCGGAAGCGCCGGACACTTGTGTGCTTCGGCGACCGCTTCGGCCCAGCTGCGGAGCTGTAACTCCGGTTGCGAGCTGCGTAAAGCAGCCTCCCCCCACTCCTGATGTTGACGCATGCGCCACGGGAACTTGGGTTTGTTCAGGAAATTCAGAAATAGGTAATTGAACTCGGCTCTGGTGCACAAATTGCAATGAGGAGCATTCGCACAGAAAAAAGCTACACCACTCCACGGAACATTTGGTTGGGGAAACGTATGGCTTAATTAGGGAGAGTAATTATGCAAGTGGCTAGCCAAAACGTCACAAGAAGGGCCAGATTGTATCCTCATTGCCTTCTTAATAATAATCGACGGGTGATTAGCGCCACATACGACTCGCTCACCATTGAAGGCGTGTTGCATTGCATCTTGGCAGATCAATTTTTTCTTTTCTTTGATGGTTTATTTAGGACAATACTTTATTTATTATTATTTATTTATTTATTTAAATACCTTAAGAGCCCAGAGGGCATTACATAAAGGGGGATACATACAAGAGGTTACTATAGCATCAGTAAAACAACATGTCAGGGAGTAATACTACTAATCAAACTGACCGATAGCCCAAACAACATTACTAATAACACAATAAGCAAAAAACACAGTAAGCAGCTCACCATAACAGGAAACATAATTCAAGAAATAGCAATAAAGATTCTCTAAGCATGCGTTACACATTAAATGTCAATGGTGGTTACAAAGTATTGTCAACTTCTAAGTAAGTTAGTACTGCAGACTGGAAAATGGAGGGTTCTGTAATAGCGACGATGTTTGAGGGCAGCGCGTTCCACTCGTTAATGGATAACAGCATAGGTGAAAATTGGTATTTATTAGTGCGTGAATATATTGGATTGACCTTATGTGCATGACCAACGCGATCAGAAACGTAGGGAGCCGGGTGAATGAATGATCGGGAAAATGACGAGTCACTATGATATAAGCTATGGAAAAAACATAGGCGGGACAACTTTCTGCGCGTGGCAAGCAATGGAAGGTTCAGAGAACGCTTAAGACATGTTACGCTTTGGTGGCGAGAATGACAGGAGGTGATAAACCGAGCTGCTTTATTTTGTACCGATTCTAGCATATCAGATAACATTGCCGTGTGTGGATGCCAGATGGTTGACGCATACTCTAGTGAAGGCCTGATCAGAGCTTGATATGCGTGAAGTTTAGTTTTCAAGTTTGCGCATCTGTGGTGGCGTTTCAAAAGACCAAGTTTTTTTTTTTGATGATTTGCTGGTGATGTATCAATGTGACTGTTCCAGGTTAGGTCGGAACTAAAGAAAATGCCGAGGTACTTTGAGGATGAAACGGTCTCAATTACGGTGCTATTGACTATGTATCTGACGGATGATGAGGGGTTGGCTACGGAAGTAAATCTAATATGTTTGGTTATCAAAATAAAGGGAAACACTGAGTGACCGATTGAAAGCTTTCCAGGAACTACTTGATGTATTGTACCCGTGCAAATTCTAATAATCACCTGGTGGCTTTAGCCTATCATTGTCTTTGTTGCCTGTTGATATTTGGGACGCTGAAGCTGTTCTCATTGTTATGTCATGTGCTTGCCTTTATTTTTTGCTCTCATTGATAACCCACCTGACTCGTTCTTCATTCCTCTCTTCGGCAAAGGCGCAACCAAAATCATGCGACGGGTGGTTTTGAGCACGCATATCAGTTTCACGAGCCAACAGTGGTTGGAATGCAACAGTGTACGGCTTCCATTATCGTTAGTTGGAGATGACGACGTTTTTTACCTTCAATTGAACAAAATCGCGCTGCGGCTAGTTTTGTGTAGCTTTATTTGTTTTTTTCATTCTTCTTGCCATAGACAAGGGGGCTTTGCAATCCGATTGTCTTTACATACGCGCGCTTCACGAGGTTGATTCAGGGTGAGCCTGGAAAACCTGGGATAGCCAGCTCATTCGGATAGGTCTGAAAAACCGGGGAATGATCAGGAAATTTTGGAAAAAGTTCATGGAAACTGATTGATGAAAACAGCCGTTACATTCGATCAATGCTTTTCAAGTCTCTCCTTCTCTGCTATAGACATAAAGTAACTGATAGTGCAAGCTGTTGTTTAAGGTGGCACAGCGCAACTTGATTCATGATGGTGCCCAGCAACTTGTGCATCTTTGCCGTGACCGACGCTCGGCTTCAAGGCATTCTGGTTCAGCTGCAGTATTTTCTGAAGAGGCTCCCAGGATCCCATTTAGCACGCTCTTTTTGAAAGTACCGTATTTGTTTGTTCTTTTTAATTCTTTTTATGATTTAAGGGCTCATCTTTAGTGCACAGATAGCCTCCGAGGTCCTCATAAGGTGGGTTGACATGGCATCGCATAGACTTCATGGCGCGCCGTGTATCCTGCATTCTACACTGTTATGCCGTAATGAAATGAAAGTCAGTTTTTCAAGGAATATGCTCATCACAGAAAACCAGGAAAAGTCAGGACATTTTGAAAAAAATATTTGGAAGACACCCTGATACTGTATTTTATTGTGGCTGTAATTGTGTATAGATAACACCTACGCGGAGTTACCGTTATGTTGGGCAACACTTGTTTTCGTTTGTATTTAGTCATCTGATAATTTCTTGTTTGCTCTTTTTTCAGCAGCTGCATTGTTTGTTTTGTTTTGTCGCCTAAAGGTTCATACGCACAAAGGGCCGAACTCCACCTTACAACGAAAATTGAAACACAATGAGAGAGAAATCAGAAAAGAACGAGATGAATAATAACGTAAATAAAAAAGGAAGAAAGTGTAAAAGGTGAAAGTATTCTACAAGGAAGACTTTAAAGGTAGCAAAAAAAGAAGGTGGACAAATTCGTCTGGTCGTACCACTAGCAACGTGTCCTTGTGGTTGCCTGAATGAATTTATATAGCGTGGGCAGAACAGCACTGCGGCCCACTGTTGGGTAATATGTACTTTTTCTTTACTGTGTGGAGATTTTTAAGCTGTGCATGACTTAAAATATATAAGGTATACGCACTTGTACTGTATGCCCTCCTCACCTTGTGCCTCTTCTGGGGCCTGTAAAGTGTAAATAATAAATAAATAAATAAATAATAAATAAATAAATAAATAAATAAAAAATAAATAAATAAATAAATAAATAAATAATAAATAAATAAATCAGCCTGCGTGGAAACAGTAGCGGACGGTTATTGCCATATTGTGCTAATAAGCAAACAGCCTTTACAAAAGACCTCCCCCCCCCCCACCAAAAAAAAAAGCGAAAGAGCCCAGCAGAAGCGGAAATCCAGTGAATTTTCTCATACTTGGAATTGTTTTATGTGTAATCGAAAATGTCGCACAAATATGAAGGGAAGTGAAAAAATCACTTCCATTATTTGTGCATCGAAAATATGCATAACTACAAAAAAAGCAAATATTTACTTTTTAACATTGTGTCGAGCAACGTTTCTAGAAACGTTGGTGTCGAGGGCATGAGTATAGCGTTAAGGCTAGTGCACACCGGCGACTAGCAGCGGTCGCGCGACCATGCGCGACTGGCGACCAAAAAGCAACTGATGTTCACACCATAGGGTTTCCTGATATACACTAAAGGGAACTTTGGCGCTAGCGCCTATGGGAGCTGCAACGCACGGCACTTCAGCGAGTAGAGAATGATGGGTAGTACACACATTTGTCGAATCTTCGTACTTCTGGCCTGCTTTTGGCTCCGTGTGTGTTCGCGTGGCTTGAAGCTGTTTTCTTACGAAACAAAAATCAGCAAATGTTCAGCGGTTGCACTTCATCACCTTAATTTTTTTGACTTACCTTTCCAAATAGGGTCACGAAGTTGAAAAGGGTTGAATCTTTCTTTCAAAACAAAACCGAAACACAGCGGTAAGCGATGCCGCAAGTACGATTCGCCGCACGCAAGTACGAAGACTAGGCAAATATATGTACTACCCATCATTCCCATGGTCGCTTAACGATCGCAGCGACACAGTCCCTCTAGTTAATTTTAGGAAACTCTATGGTACACACCGGCGAAGGCTGCATGCGAGCGACCGGAAGTCGCAAAGCTGGAGAGTGACGTCCAGATCTCGTTATCAGCGAGAACTCTAGAGACCGGCGCCGATCAGCTGATTGCCGCCAGCTCAGTGAGCGGAGCAAACCGAGCGCGCCACATTTACTGTTTTCGTCTGTTGTCGCACAGCGTTCCCAGGAGCGTCAAGGAGTTCAATTCAAGCGAAGAACAAGATATAATTGTGCTAGTGCGCTGTGCCATGGTGTCAGCGCTGGCAGCACAGATGCCTCCAAAGAAAAAAAAATTACCCCGTGTCTGCATGTTTCTGCAAATGTCGTCGAA